ATCCAGTAGATGTGAAAGGGATATTCCTTGTTGCTCAGTTGGACTGCCTTTAACTCCTCGTGCCATGGTATTTAGTATTCCATTTTTCTCAGCTGGGAACATAATGTGTTCTCTTAAATTTTTTAAATCTTTATTATTATAAATCTCGCTTGTTGCCAAAGAGCCAGGATTTTTATATTCCCATGTTGGCTTGGTCATTGGCTTAATCTTCATTGGTGGTATTCCTAATTCCGGTGTCGGAGAAATTTTGTACCATGTATCTTTTAGATAATACATAGTTGGTATTATTTTGTTGCATGTTATTTGTGTTCCTGTTTTTAGTAAAACATGTGTTCGTGGAGCCAAAAAGTAAGTTTCATTTCCTTTGTATACAGGTAATTGATTGTAACATTCTTCAATATGTCGTATTGTTACTTCCACTGGAGTACATTTAATTATATATACGACTTCTCCAGAAATTGTTGCCATATATCCTGGTCCTTTCATGAACTGATAAGCAAATTCATCTGGTGAATGTACTGCGATGCTTAGTGCATTTTTAATAACTTGTTGTTCAAGACTGCATCGTTGTTGAATTACATCTCTGTATAAGTATTTGATTTGTGTTCGAATGTGTTTTTCCACATAAATGAATTTTGAATTGATGTAAGCAAATATGTCTATGTTTTCAATTGTTTTTTGTTTCGTTGTGTAAATGATTCTCCTCTTTTTGTTTCTAGTATTAATAGTTTAGGATGTTCTGTCTTGATTAGGGAATATCCGCAAAGAAATTCCTCTCCTGTTTTAGTGGGAGCAAAAGTTATATGTTCTGTTGATAATGAATATACAATTATTAATTTTTCATTTACGGTATCCGTTATTTTATCTGCATATCCCTCGAATAATACATCATAATAGTTAAATTTACAATGATCATTTGGTATAGTTTCCCAATAAGTGCTTTTTCCTTCAATATCTAGACAATTGCTATCAGTGTATTGACAAATTGTTCCAGATTTTAAGTGAATTTGATTAGTTTCAAGAGCAATTGGTGCGTGATAAGATTGTAAAGTTATAGTTATTGTCCCTTGTACTATTACATTTTGCCATGTTCCATAAGGATCTGAATATTGTGCACCAGTACATGTTCCTTCAGATGTTACTG